CAAGGACCGGGAGGGACAGCATACGCACCAAGTGCAGAAGGCTCAAAATCGTGACGAACGGCAACATACGGTGGGAAAGTCACGGGCCCGGAAACTGTACACCCAGATGCTGGCGAAGCCTCATTGTCTCATCATGGATGATGAGACTTACGTCAAGGCGGGCTTCCGGCTCTTCCGAGGCTACTGTTCTTGACCGCCCAGCACAAGTTTGATGTTCCGGAGGCAGTAAGAAAGCAGAAACTTTCAAAGTTTGCCAAGAAATACATGATTTGGCAAGCGTTCTGCTCATGTGGCAAACGGAGTGCGCCAATTGTGACTACCGGGACTGGAGGGTCTACATCAAGGAGTGTCAACAGAAGCGTCTGTTTCCTATGTTGAAGCAACATGAAGTCCCTACGATCTTCCGGCCGGAGCTAGCTTCGTGCCACTATTCAAATGTTGTCCTGGAGTGGTATGAAGCCAACGGGGTCACTTTCGTACCCAAGGACATGAACCTCCCCAACGCACCGGAGCTAAGGCCCATCGAAAAATACTGGGCTATTATGAAGCAGGCACTATGGAAGCACCCCAAGGAGTTCAAACAACAATCAATACGAAATTAGCGATTTTAAATTGGCTCACTACTTGACTAGCCTATTGGTCCCAAGCAAATCGATTAACGTACCCTATTCTAGTCCAAATTCTAGTACTGCACAATGTTTGTTTTGATTCGCTATGAAAGTTTGAAAGATAAAATGAGGGGTTATTAGATTTTCCTATGTTTCGAGGGGTGAATCGATTAGCTTGGGACCGAAGATAGTACCAGAGCTGAGCCAAAAAGTTGAGCTCGTTTCTTCGGGACCTTCTGATCTTACCTCTATGTGTCAAATGTGAGGAAGACATGAAGAAAAAGTGGGTTTCCGTACAGAAGAAGCTGCAGCCAGATGTTGTACAGAACCTAATGAGTGGAGTTAAGCGTAAGGTGCGAGCGTACGGTTATGGTATTGAAGTTGAATGAAATAAGTATGCCAAAAGCTTACTAATGGGTTATATTTAATTGTCTGAAAGTTTGAAAAGGATCGGTATTCTAGGTAATTTTCTAAAGCGTTTATTTCCATGATGCAATTTGATGTGGGACACCCTTTACTTCAGAGAAGTTCAGAAAAATTGTGGATACTTTAGAGAAGTTCTAAAAACCTCAAGGAAGATTCTAGAGATTAAAGGGTGTCCACGATGAAATTGCCACACTATGAAATTGCTCTAACTTTTTAACCGTTGGGTAGAATTTAATGAAAATTTGGGTGGATTTAGTTCATAGTGCATTATTTACATCCTGTAAGTTTTAAAGTCCTGTGATCAAAACTCGCGGAAATGGAGTCGAAAGAACAGCTCGTGCGTGATAAAATCTTGCGCATTCATCACGAGAACAAGGATCTCTCGCATCGTTCCATCGCTAAAACGTTGGGAATCGCGAATTCCACGGTGTCGCGAGTGATTAAGCGGTTCGAGGAACGGTTGACCACCGATCGGAAGGCCAGAAGTGAAGGAAAAAGTATTCCGTACAACACCAAAAATCACAACCGCGTAGTTGGGACCTTCAACCGAAATCCGAACGCCTCCGTTAGGGATGTGGCTAAGAAGCTGCACCTAAGCCGAAGTTTTGTCCAGAAGGCCAAAACTAAGGCTGGGCTTCGAACGTTCAAGGTACAAAAGGCCCCTAATCGCGACGAGAAGCAGAACAAGTCCGCCAAAACCCGTGCCAGGAAGTTGTACCTCAACATGCTGATGAAAGTTGAATGCTGCATCATGGACGACGAAACATATGTGAAGGCCGACTTCAAACAGATCCCCGGCAACCTGTTTTTCACGGCCAAGGATAAGTTCAGCGTTCCGGAGCATGTCCGCACTCAGAAGATGTCCAAATTTGCGAAGAAATTCCTGGTTTGGCAAGCCATCTGCACGTGCGGGAAGCGGAGTGCACCTTTCGTGACCCAGGACACGATGAACTGACAGGTGTACATAAAAGAGTGCCTCCAGAAACACTAGTAGTTCGGAGATCTTAAGGCTGTCACAATAACATCAGGGACGGCCAGACTTTCTGGCAATGTTGTTGGTTGCGATGGATTCAGGGCAGCACCATGAAAGTCGGCATAATTTTGCGAAACTTTATGATATTCAAAGAATTTCAGGGAAGTCTAAAGAAGTCCGGAAAATTTTAGAAAACATTTGGGGAATTTGCGAAGTTTAAAGATATTTAGTACAGTTCCATTTATTTCTGGGCAGTACCAAGCACTTCAGGAGAATTGCAAAAAAATCAGGACGGCTTCGAGAGCCTTAGGGCAGTTCAATTGACTTCAGGGAAATTACAGGAACATTTAAGAAGTTCCAAGAAACTCTGTAAATTTTTGAAAACTTCAGCAATGTTCCAACATCTTTTTAGAGAATCAGGGAACTTTAAAGTAGTTTAAATATTTCAAGCAGTTCCATTATTTTCAGAGATGTTCCAAGTATTAAGAGATCTTCAGAGCAAATCCATTAATTCATTGCAGGAATTTTCACGAAGCTCACTACTTGACTTTAAATGCTTGAAAAATTAAGAAATGTAAGAGAAAATTCGAGGACTTCTTGAAAATTTAGGAAACTTTAGGGTAGATTTGAGATTTTAATAGAAGTTCAATGAGCTTCAAGGAAGTATTGAAAACATTTGTTTCAGGATAGATCAAAGAACTTCAGGGCAGTTCAATTATATTCAGGAAAATTGCGTCAACTTTTAAAAACCTATGAGAAATTCAGGTCTAGAGAACATTATTGACGTTTAGAGATCTTTAGGGTAGGTCCAATCAGGGCTCTAAATTTTTGAAGCTCTAAAATTAACACGAGTTTTGTTTCCTTCATACAACGTGTTCAACGCATAATTTCTACAACGCCCAGCTAGACTGTTAGCAAGAAACGAAAATGAAAAAGAAGCACGAAACGATTTTAGGATTTTCTCGTCGTTGCTTTGCTCATCACTTTCAATGAAAGTAACGTCGATTTTCGAGATCAAACGAAACCTCCTAATAGCTTTATATTCCTTTCACCGACCCTCTATCACCGCTCTTTCAATTTGTTGTATATGCGTTATGTCCCGTTTTCGTTACTTTTCTTTTAGATAAATATGTGGATGGAAGATAAATTAAATATTGTACGGGTCATCATCATTCTTCATATAAATATATTTTAATTTTTTTCTGTGTTGATGAGATTCATGAAAGATGAAACTATCAAAGTCGACTGCTCTTTCACTCGTCCGCTTCACTGAAGCAAGAAAGAAAGACCACTGAAGCGACGGGAGAAAGAATGAAAATTTGTTTCTAGATGCCGACTGAGGTTCAACTTCAACAGAAAAAAAGAAAGCTAGCAGTTTCTTCGTCACATCGATTTTGTTCATTGAAGATGATATTGTGACGCCCTGAATCCAAGTATCCAAATTCTTAACTTTCGGAGAAGTTTAAAGATCTTGAAGAATAAGTAATTTTGTTTTGGCTTTCAGTCTTAACGATAAAGTCTAACGTCAACGTTCGTTGTCCACGTTTCGATCCAGAGGTTGGGAACTTCATCAGGGCTAGTTTTAGTTTAAAATCGTAAAGATGTTTAAGAAGAAGGCTTAAACATTCTAGTGTTTTGATCCACCGTTAAACTGAAAAACCGATATCAGAAAAAAAAAATGTATTATTAAGTTTTATGGCGAGCTGATAGCAGAGAAGTTAACCCGTACCCTATTTTAATTAGAGACATCTTAAAACGCCTTTTGAAATAAACTAAGCGATAGATTTAACATCTGGTGGTGAATAGCAGAACGTCAAAAAGAGTGTTGTGAGCGACATAGGAAGTGGAACACTTTTTCACTTTTCTTGATAAATTTTTCATCTGAGAAGCTCCAAAACTTGATCTACAGTTGAAAAATGTAATTCTGTATCGTTTTTTGCAAGGATCCTGTTGTTGTTCAGGAATATTTTTGTTGTGAATAGTTTAGGAGTGAATCAGTTCAGAACTGCGTAAAATCGTAAAATAAGACAATTACCGATGGAAATTGGCAAGAGGTTCAATGAAAAATGCATTAATTTGCGTTGTGAAAAATCCTTATTCTGATGTAAACAAACGGTTTGGTTAAAGTTTCCTCTCGAACTCGCGTGGCGCACTCTACGTTGGCGGTGCATTAAAAAAGCTTATTGTGCTTAAAGATTCAAATTTACCATCACAGCACTGGCATACCAGCATCGAACCGTCAGTCAAAATATAAAACTTATGTTAAACAATTTAAAAACTGCTTAGCTGAAATTTGCAACAATGACAAAAAAAAACATTGTCATAGTCACGAATGAGTTTGAAATACAGATGTTTTAAATCGGACTTCCAAACTTTAATTCAGTGCTAGTGACACAATAGCACTTCAAATTTGCGACTCCAATAAAGATAAAGATTCGGCTGTATTGAAAATCCAAGCTGGAAGCTGTAGGTTCAATATTCTCAGAACCGGCTGAAGCAGAACATTTTGTCGAAATTGGGCTTCTTTGAGCATAGAAATCCATTGTCATTACCATGGTAACAACCCTTCTCCCCCTACGTAGAAAGTATGGAATGGATGTTATCTGAAAACTCTCTAAAACAGTCAACGTAGTCTATGAACAACCCCATATATGTAGCTCTTTAACCGACCATCAAAGAATCTTTCCTCATCCACGTTACAGCTGTCGTTGTAATGCTTCAATGACCATTCAGAGGATCAAAATCCTTCCTAATTGCATGAAAGAGCAGCTTATCTTTACGTTATGGTCGATAATTTTCCGCAGGTCAACATTACCTCCGACACAAGCTCAATTATTCTCAGCTCCGCATTTGCTGGATTTGGTACACACACACACACATATCATACATTATTGATGACTCTTCTAAAGGCTTCAGCTCCCGATGGTGATAAAAAGCGGTTTTCTTTACAAAACCACTTACGAGTAGCAAGCAATTTATGTACCATTACTCACCCACACTGAAGCAGTCAGATGAAACACTGTTATCCAAATATGCAGCAAACTGTGATTTTTACAATTAATCCAGTTGGTAAAGAGTTAATCTCGCTAAAATTCACAAACCACTGTTTTTTTTTTCAAATGAGAAATCAGAAATCACAATCTAACGACAACCGCACGCTTCTCCAATAAGCCACTTCACCGGAAATTTTAATTTGTCAGCCGTAAAAAGCTGCCCCGCCAACTGCGCCGAATTCCGATCGTATCACTAGCACAAATCCCAAAAAACACTGTTGTCTGATTAGCACTAACCGTCAAACCGTGTATCCTTTCCCAATGCTTTCCCAATCGACTTGATTTTGCTGTTTTTAGTTCAGTTCGCTGGCGCGCACACACGACTAGGACACAACCCGGAGGCGCCCAGAGATCCGCACAGGACGAAAGATTGTTGTATACTAATCTGGTCCTGGCGCGTTACACCGCTATCTATACGAGATCGGTTGCGTTGTGGTCCTCGCGCGCGCGGTCCTTCGAGATGCTGCTGTTCCAGTCCAATTGTTGCTGGTATTTCACCCCCACTGACTGGGGAGCTCCTTCTCGTTATCGCAACAGCGGCCAGGTGAGTGTCCCTGAGCGCCAGGCGGTGGGTGCGGCACTCTGTGAGCGAGAGAAAGTGAATGCACTGAAATCGGGATATGAATGGCTGGTATGTAAACGTCGAAGCAATCCTCCGATGAGGACACGGATGCGACAGGGATGAATTCCAATTTTCCAAACAAAATGTGTTTGATACGGAAATCCACTTTAGGATATTAATTCATGTTTTGATAAGTTAGATAAATTAGAATATTTTGATAAATTGATGATTTGTCAGATAAACTAGAATAGGTTTGCAATGCCATAACCTAGCCCTTTCATAATTAATTTTGAAAATTGTGGAACCACTGGAATTCCTTGTGTCTGTAAATGGTTATGGGATTTGCTAGTGGCTAACCCTTTCGGGACGACTTCTTTCTTTAATTATTATAATTAAAGATTAAAGAAAACCATACAATTAAAGCAAAATATGAGTAATTTTTTTTGGCGATGCCCCAGGCCATCCAAACTATCCTGAAGTGCTTTTTTTTCCCTTGATTTGTTTTCCGTCGATTTTGTTTTCCGTGCTGAGCACCAATGCTACCGGCGCCAGGGAGGCAGCTCCCACACCTGGACCCTACCTATCGACCCATCAACTCATGAACCGGGGACCAACGGCTTAACTTCGTGAACGGCGTGATCAGAGATGTTATACCTCAGAACATCCCTGCGGTGCCGACTGGGATTGAACCCAGGCCTGCTGGGGTGAGAGGCAATCACGCTTACCACTACACCACCGGCGCCGCTGTCCTGAAGTGCTTATTCTTGGTTATATTGTCCAAAACAACATATCATTCAAAATCCATTCTCGTGTCCAAACAACATCGATTTGCTTGGGACCAATAGGCTAGTCAAGTAGTGAGCCAATTTAAAATCGTTAGTTTCCACCGGTTGGTATTACCAAGCCGAAGATGGTGGGTTATATACTCAATTGATAATTGTCGAAATGCATCTATAAGACTAAGTTGAGGTACGGCACATTCTCGTTAAAAGAACGTCAACGCCTGGTAGAAGAAGATACGTATCATTTGAGAATGTTTTAGGTTCTCCAGATTGCTTTAAAGTTTAGATAAAATGATCTACTTATTCAACGTCGACTGCGACAACGCTCTTAGCATAAAATCATGTCTGAACATATTCATAGAGTCTATGCGCATCATTCATTATTCATTTACATACAGGGTAAGTGTACAATTTTTTGGCTCAAGTGGTTCCCTAATTGTCCTTAACTCAAATTATTTTTCTCCATACTTCACCTAATTTATTTCGATACAATGTTAGAACATAGATTTTGCCGCAATTAAAACCATGAAAATGTGTATCCGATTTGCATTAGGCTTTTTCTTCTTATTCATTTCAAGCTTATTGCTTAGTGCATGTTAGCTTATTGCGTGCTCTCGACTTAGTATTCTGAATGCACTTCCACAGTTATTAATTGAGAGCTTTCGATGCCTGTACCAAAGCATGAATTTGCATATTGTGTGGCATGCACAATGATACTCTATGCCCAGGGAAGTCGAGAAAATTTCCAACCCGAAAGATTCCCTCGACCGGACCGGGGATCGAACCCGTCGTCTCCGGCTTGGTAATACCGTGCCTTTACTGACTAGGCTATGAGGCCCCAAATACTGGATTTTGAATTGCTGAAAAAGTCGGTAAAAATTCAAATGACCGTTATCCGTAAGGAATCAATGAAATCGACCAATTTTATTTTCTATCATTAAATGGGGCTAACAGAACTAAGTATGTACAACTTCAGAACAAATTTTCTCATTAATACATTACCCCTGATTTTTAAACTTTTACCGAACAGTTCCACAATTTTAAAACTCAGTAAAACCGTACTGACTCGATTAGTGTGTAGCTAAAAACAAATATGGATCAGTCAGTCTAGCGTGTTAAGCGAATTGAGGTGATCCATAATTGTGGTTGATCTATAATTGTGGGGTTAGTGTTCATAGATTTAACATCAATAAAATTTTGAGAGAAGTTCAGAGGGGAATTTCGGTGGACCTTTTAGCAGTTCTAGATGAACTTAAGGAAAAATTTAGGAAAGCTGCGGGAGGACTTAAGATAAGTTCCGGAAGCACTTTCTCTGACAGCTTTCGGAAAATTTTAAGAGAACTTCACATACATCCAGGAAAATTCCGAAGGAACTGCTGAAAAACTACAACAATTTTTGAGAAAACTGCTGAAAACTTACCGGCATTTCACAAGGAATTTCAAAGAAGTTTATGTGGAACTGCCCACAAGTTCATTTCCAGCTTCCCAGAAGTTCACGTTGCTTGATTTGTTTCCCGTCAATCTTGTTTTCCGTTCTGAGCACCAATGCTACCAACGCCAGGGAGGCAGCTCCCACACCTGGACTCTACCTATTGACCCATCAACTCATGAACCGGAGACCAACGGCTTTACTTCCCTTCCAAAGGAAGACGTGATCAGAGATGTTATACCTCAGAACATCCCGGCGGTGCCAACTGGGATTGAACCTTGGCCTGCTGGGGTGAGAGGCAATCACGCTTACCACTACACAGAAGAACTTCACTTGAAACTTCCCGAAAAATGTTTTATTGTTCTGTACACACTTAGAAAAAATTACCGACTTCGGTAATTCATTTACCGAATTCTCAACAGCTGAACGGTCGGTAATGTGTTCGGTAATCGAGAACATTACCGAAAAATCTGTAAACTGAATCAGCAAAATTAGCTGTCAAATTTACCGAACGATCGGTAACGTTTACCGAAAAAAACAAGCTTGATTTGTAATTGATTTTACCGGAGAACTGTAATTTTGGAGTCGATATGGAAAATGAAAATTACCGAAAGATCTGTAATTTTTTTTTAAAGTCTACCGACTTAAATTCAATTCGCTTTAATATTGTTTACAATGTGTTTTTCGGGTTTTATCAATTATACAAATTAAATACAAATACTCCGATGAATATTTTTGTTAAGTTCATTCAATTATGTCTCTGATTCACGGGTAGAACTTGCTTCATTGCATTGAGTAGGCATTTCATGACCGATGAAAAGAGTTTCCCCGAGTGGATCGTTTCCCTTCGTGGTACTTTCGGCTGGAACAAAGCTTTCAAGTGGATGCTTTTCAATGATATGGCGTTTTAAAGAATAGAAGTTTTTTTTTATCTTGCATCACATTTCTGATATGTACAATCAAAAATTGTGTTTGCCGGTATAAAATCTTTCATTTTTATGTGGTTATTGATGAAAAACAAGCAACAGTATTGGCCATCTGTAACAATTGTTATTTATTTAGATAACGAAATATCTTTACTTACGGAAAATATCTACGAATCGCTCATCTTGGTGTTGCAGCTGGTCCATAACAGCCTCCATAATTGAACTTTTTATTTTTCACAAGTTTCCACTTACATTTTTTTTTTAAGAAGGTCGAAAATCACAATATGGTGAATTTGACGTTTCTCGCTGTGAAAACTACCGAACTCGGTAATGGAACGGTTTGTTTACCGAAACTTCAGTAAAATATTTCACCGAAGTCAGTGATGAAGCTGATTTACAGATCTGCCGGTAATTTTTTTTACCGTTTTCGTTGAATTGAAATGAAATCACCGAAATTCGGTAATTTTATTTACAGTTTTCAGCAATAGAGCGAGAAAATACCGAAACATCTGTAATTTTTAGGATTACCGATCTAAGACGGTAATTTTGTTTACCGAACTCAGGGTCTCTGTTTAAGTGTGTAGAATAAAATTTAAGGAAATTTGTGAATTTCTCGACACATCCGTCAGATTTTTGAAAGTTTCGTTAGCTTCTCGAAAGTTTCGTGTCTTCTCTGAAGTCCCTCGAAATTCTCAAAAGTTCCGTGAACTTTTCTGAAATTCTGTTAATTTTTATAAAAATACCTGAGCATCTCTAAAAATGCCTGAGCTTCACTGAAATTTCGTTAACGTATCTGAAGATCCGTGAGCGTTTTTAAAGTTCTTTGAGCTTATTTCAATGTTTGGGAACTTCCCTGCAATTTCATGAACTGCTCGACATTTTCGTATACTTATCGGAAGTTTCGTTTGCTTGTCGGAAGTTCCGTAAACTTGTTGGAAGTTCCATAAAATTATCGGAAGAAGATTTGAAGAAGTTTAGAGAACGTCTGACGAGAAGCTCAAAGGAATTCCGAGGACAACTTCAGAGTCCGATAAATTCACGGAACTTCCGAGAAATTTAGAGAACATCCGACTAGAATTCCGAGAAAAAGTGAACATGTTGAAAGTTCCGTGAAATTCTCGAAAGAGAAGTTCGGAGAACTTCTAATAATAAATCCAGAGAAGTTCAAAGAAAGTCTGACGGGAAGCTCAAATGAATTCCGAATACAATTTCAGAGAATTTCTGACTAGAAATTCAGGGAAATTCCGAGGAGTTTAGAGAACATCCGAAAATAATACCGAGAAATTCCGAGAAGAAGGTCAAAGACCTTT